CGGCGTTGGGGCCCAACTGTCGCCCACAACCTTCGCAACGGCGGCCGCGGCGTTGGCCACCGCCGCAGCCGCTAATGGTATTTCAGTCAATCAGCTCTTGACACAGGTATGTATCGCTCGGACTGATTATCACGTTGTTTCACATTATGATTATCATATTGTAATTAACAAATATTTTTGTGTAATTAAAACACTAGCTGATGGCACAGGCGGGTCAGCAGCAAATGCTATTGCAGGCCGGCATAGCTCAACAGTTACAACAGGCCTCAAAAGTATGTGAATGTTAATATTTTCATTTCAACCAATATTATTTTATTGGAAAAAACCCACCAAGGACCAAAATTAATGTCATTTAGTTAAACAAATTACAGCTACCGGTGAACAACACTCTGGCGGGACTGACGGGCGGCCAAAACGCAGACCTGCAACACATTCAACAGCAACTCCAACAACAGCAACAGAATCTGCAGAATATACAGCCCTTGCTATTACTGCAGCAACAAAACCAATTGCAGGGTTTGGGACAATTGGGTGGTATTGGGGGTCAACTGCCCGCTAATCTCCAACAACTACAGGCGCAGCTCCTCCTCCAGAATCAAGTAATTCATGATTTGTTTTTTGTTTTATTTATAAATTGTGTTTATTTTTGTTTTGATGATATTTTTTCGTTAATTATATCGAAAATTGCTTTTCAATTGAATTTTTAACTATAGTTTAAAGTTATGTTTGTATTATAAGATTTAAAATTAATTTTTTTACTTTTATGATGAATTGTTATTTATAAACATGTTTGTAGTAAAAAAGCGTTAAACAAATATTATTTAATTGTTTGCATAGATATACGAGAATTAGTAGTTTCACAAACAATTGATAAAAAAATATTTATAGTTATAAATCTAGTGTTTAGTTAAACATAAAATTTATTATAAGGTATTGCGTGTGTGTCAGAGCATACATTAATAAAAAGATAATTTACCAAACTGCCCAGGGTTTACTCCACCAGGGCCTGTTCCAGCAGTCGCTGCACAGTCTGGCCACCGGTCAGGGAGTGTTACCACAATTGGCTGCCGCCCAACAGTTACAGCAGTTGCAAGAATCGCAACAATTACTACAATCGGTGACCAATCAGTCCCATCAGCAGCAGCTCATCACCAATAATCAGTCCGCACAACAGCAACACCATAACCAACACCAACACCAACAGCAACATCACCACAACACTAACCATTCAGCGAACAACACCTCATCGTCGACACACCAACACCTGAGCCAACGCCAGTCACCCCATCAACAGTCCGGTGGCGGCGGTCAGTCCGGGACAGTGGCCGCCCATCTGTCAGCGGTTGCCGCGGCCGCCGCCGGCGGTGGCACCGGCTCTTCGCTGGCCAACCATAACACACATCACACCAATAGCCACCACAACAACAGCCACAGCAATACAAACGGCGGTAACAATCACTCATCCGGCAGTCATTCAAGCAAATTAACGGCAAACAGTGTTAACAATGGCAACAATAGTAACGCTAATAATAATACAAGTATTACTACTAACACGACGTCGTCGTCGGTGCTGAACACCCATCCGCCGCTCAAAGCCGTGGCCACCCGTCCCACGGATCCCAATCCCGATGAGATGACCGATTTGGAAGAGTTGGAACAGTTCGCCAAGACTTTCAAACAGAGGCGGATTAAATTAGGTTAGATTTCAAACCCATTATATTTTTATACATATAAAGCAAAAAAACTTTTTATAAACTTTTTTCTATCACAAAAAAAACTTTTTCAAAACTAACGTAAAAGTTAACAAAACATTTTCATATATAAGATATGATAACATGAAAACAATTGATAACATTGAATACCATATCCATTGTTAACCTGAATCGGCCGGTTGTGTAGGTTTCACTCAGGGCGACGTCGGCCTAGCGATGGGCAAACTATACGGCAATGACTTCTCGCAGACAACGATCAGCCGTTTCGAGGCGTTGAACCTCTCGTTCAAAAACATGTGTAAATTGAAACCACTGTTACAGCGATGGCTGGAGGACGCGGACGCCTCGCTAAACAACCCGACGGCGCTGAACAGCGCCCACTCGACGCCGGACTCGCTATCGGGTCGGCGGC